AAAAAACACAAAATATATATATAAAACACATAATAAAATAATATTATTCGAGACAACGAGAAAGCATAGTCCAAGAAGACGGCCACAAATTATTTTTTATATATTTTATTTATTTTTTTAATAATTATTTAAACTGGGAGCGGTGATTTTTTTGAAATTTCCCGACGTAGATCAAACGATGTTTATAATATAAGTGTGAAAACTAACAGCGAGGCCCACATTGAGACAATTTTTCTTTGTATGGGGGACAAATTAATGCAATTGAGAGTGTGAGGGGATAAAGTTGAATTTTCCATATATATATATATATATATATATATATATATATATATATATATATATATATATATATATATATATGTGTGTGTGTGTGTGTGTGTGTGTGTGTGTGTGTGTGTGTGTGTGTGTGTTTGTTGTGGGTGTGGGTGTGTGAGATATGTCTAATTTGGCCAATCCAATGGGCCCGATTGGCCTACGATTTATTTATTTAATGGGCCACGAGTCCAAATTAGAAGATCACTGCTACGAAAGCCCAATCAACTTCAAATAAGGTTTGGGTCCGACAAATTAACTTCAGTCCAATCAACAAGTATAAATAAATATTTAATTCATTCGTTAAAGGTACATTTTATTATTCAAACAATTCAACTAGTCGTATTCTCTCAACTTTCTCTACTATCTGCACCTCTGACTAGAGCGTCGGTCGGGTTTCCGCCGAATCAATCCCGACTCAGTTTACATGTATTATGTTTGCAGGAGTCTCAAGATCATTAAGCAAGTGAGTCAGTGATTCACTTAGCTCATCATACTCCAATTACTTTGAAAAAAAACCCTCAAACATTTCATTAATAGAGAGAGACCCTATCCATATTGTAGTCTTTGAGATAACTCATACTTGTATTACTTTCTCTCTAATCCCAAAATGGCCTTTCCACTAGTGCCATCCCCATTTTTTTTTTTTTTTGTTTTTCTAACTAAGTTTCAATTTTTCTATTTTTTTTTTTTTTTTTTTGATAATTTGTTTATTTCTTTTTCTCCTTTCATTGTCAGATGTATTAATTAACTATGAATTTAGATATAGTTGATTAATGAACGGTTTACTAAAATCATTGTTAAAGAATCAAATTGACTACTAAATATAAGAAACACAACACAATTCAACAAAAAATATTCAAACAACCAACCGTAAAAAGTTACAAAACACAACTAAAAAAACGAAAATCAACCATTTTTAAAAAAAAAAGGGGTGCTGCTAATTATATATATATTAATGGTTACTTATTCATAAAGAGGTTTAGACAATAAAATATTTTACAAAAAAGGCCACACATGGTACAGAGGTTTGTAAAAGACTAAAATAGTTCCTCATACTTTAATATGCTCTAATTTCTTCCTTTAATTTAATATAACCTCAATTTGACCCCAAATTTCACAAATTATTCAATTTTGACCTAAAACACATTTTTATGGAAAATTTTGCCCGTCACCGCCGTTGACTACCGGTCTTCGGCGTTGTTTTTTTTTTTTTTTTTTTCTTTTTTTTCCTTCCTGATTTTTCTGCCGGTTTCCGGCGTTGAATTTTTTTTTTTTCGCCACCAGTTTTCGAGATTGAATTTTTTTTTATTACCTTATTTTATTATTTAGTATAAAGGGCGTTTTGGTCCTCACATAAAAGGGAAGAAAATCAACTAACATTTTTTCCTTTTAAAAGTTGTATAGATATAGATATAGAAAAGGTAATATTAAACATAAAAAGAAGTGATATTTGTTGTAGAAGCTCTACCTGAATACAACAAGACAAATACTATTTTGTCGTTCTTTCTTTTTGATTTGTTGTTTTCAATTTGGTTTGAAATATCTCAAAATACATTCATGAACACATTATTTTCGCCCGTGAATGATCATGTATCTTGTACTCTCGGTCCTTTTTCTTCTAATTTGGAGACTTCGTTTGTATACTTAGGGCATCTCCAATTGATTATGTAAAACGGATCTTTAAATTTGATTTTAGAGATCCGGTTTTGATTATGTAAAACGGATCTTTAAATTTGATTTTAGAGATCCGGTTAGAAACTCGAGTCTCTGAAAAAAAAAAAAGTTCATTAAATTTTCAATAGTTAGTTTTTATTTGGGTCTTTCTAGGGTGAGATACCCCATGTTCTAAACTTTTATGAGATATGCATTAATCACCATTAATTTTCTAAGATTAAATCTGGACCCTAGGAAAATAACATGGCTTATGTTCTAAAAAATGAAGTACTTTACCAAATTATCCTTCGATTATTTTTTTATTAAATTAATATAAAATTGATTAACATTGAATTGTCTAATTTACCCCTACTATATTTTAATTAAATAATTAATTTAAATTCATTGTGACCGAGATTTATTTGATAAATAATCGAAAAAAATGCATTCATTAGGAATAGAACTTGTGACCTCTTAATACATTTATTACTCCTAACCATCCAAGCACATTAACTTATTATGATATATTTAACCATAATTGTATAAATACTGTTAATTCAAATATTAATTGCAACATTCATTATTATTAAATGATATTAAATAAATTATGAACAAATATAATAAAATAAAGTTTTAAAAATATAAAGGATTGCAGTTCAATACGCCAAACATCTATCATTAATTATATAATATTAGAAGTATTAATAAACTCCACCATTTAAAAATGTAAAGAATGCTCAATTAAATATAAAAAAATGCATAACTTAATTCAAACTCACTTATGTTATTTAATCGATAGTGTGACAAATCCAAATAAAAAATAAAATAATATGTTTGTTTAGAAGAAGAAAAAATTATAACTCATTCCAATTAGTAGTTTTCTTACTTTAAAATAAAATTATATACTACAAATACTATATTGTGAATTTTCTTTTAATATTTAATTTAATCAACTAGTAAGATTTGAATCGATGAAGTACAAATCCTTTCAATTAGTAAACATTATTCAAATATTTTAATCGGTTGCTTAACTATTGACATAACATGTTACATAATTGATTTAACTATTTATAAGTAATGTCTAATATCTTTTTAATTCAATTTTGTCATAAAAAATAGTAAATTTAATTACTAACACATGTAAGAACCTAATCGTAAATCATAATATTTTATCAAAGCGTAATATTTGAACCAATTAAGCTCAAGTCCTTTCAATTCGTAAAAATTATTCAAATATTTGAATCGATTCATTAGCGCGCTCAACTATTGACAAGAACGTCTTAATCAAATTAACTATTATTAATTAAAGTGTAATACATTTTTAATTCAATTTTATCATGAAAAAATAATTCCTAAATTACGCAAGAATCAAATCATAAGATTAATTAAAGCGTATGATTTGAATCAATTAAGCGCAAATCCTTTTAATTTGTAAATATTATTCAAAAATTTGAATCGATTAAGTTCAACCACTGACAAGAACGTATTAATCGAGTTAACTATTTATAATTAAAGTCTACTATCCTTTTAATTCAATTTTAACAACAAAATAATAATTTAATTCGTAAAATCGTAAAAATCATATCGTAAATCGTAAGATTTAATCTAACCATGAACCGATTAAATCTTACGATTTTTACGAATTAAATTTTATTATTTTTTATGATAAAATTCAATTAAAAAAAGTTACTAAACTTTAACTATACACAGATTGATTAATACGCTATTGTAAATTATTGAGTTTAACCGATTCCAATATTTGAATATTGTATACCAATTGAAATGAGTTGAGCCAATTCGATCAAATCTTTGA